ATAAACCAATAAAATCAGTATAGTTAACCTTCTGTGTTGATGTGATATAATGGTTGCTGGCTGGACAACGAAATGCGATACAAGGCAGCTTAGCATTCGCTTAATCCGCTGTCTAATAAGTCACAAACACAGCAAAGGATAGCAGTTCAGTTCGGTACTACTACTACTGAAGCGACACACACTCACTAGAGGAGTACCTGACAGTGACAGGCCATTGGTATGTCCATGTGGAGAGAGCCGATCGAGTGTAGTGGAGAGCGCGCGTCGTGCAGGGTGCACTTGCAAGATTAGGTTTGGAAACAGTGCAGATCAATCATCTGATGCCGATGGCACGAGGCATTATATCGATAGATCGATCGATGCGCAATGCAACATAACACGGTGGTGGTGAAAGCTAGATGATGCCGCGCCGCGCGTCTATTGCTAATTGTGCGTGGTGACTGGTGACACATACCGATCAGCTAGCACCGGAGGAACCGTGTGCCGAGTCCACGTGCACCGGGGCAACGTATCAGCATTGTCCACGCCAAAGCAGTTTGGGGTTGGCCATAATCATCGCCTTGGACAACTGACTCCATAGATTAAGTTTGATATGGTTTCCGGCCGGTAGAGGAAAAACAGTGAAGTGAAGTGTAGCAGCTAGTGAGCATCATCTGTCTTGAGATAATGTTTAACCTGGATGGATAGCGGAGAAGTGAGGTAGCTAGTGATCATCTTTACTCTCACCACTAATCAAGCCACACCAGCATACAATGGTACTCCTTCCATCAGGAAATATAAGGTAGGTATGGGTTTTTAAATTCAAACTTTTGACTAATAATTGATCTAATCAAACGAAAAGTTTACACTACAAAAGTACTTACATTGGATTCGTATTTAGAAATATATTTTAATGGTCAAGCTTTTATTGTCATAATTACTGGTTAAAATGTGATCTTAAAGATTGCACCAAATCAAACCATGTGTCGGGGTTATGATACCCCGGGTATCTCAAGACACTGATTAGTCAGCCGCTCGGGCGACTCACGGTACATGAGTTGGTATAAGCCCGAACGACCGAGGCCCAGCTAAGTTACGTAGACTTGGGCCAAACACTAAGGCAGGGGTTGGCCACGACCTCTACCCTCTGCCTTCACCTTACGCCGTGCAACACCACATGACCTTTCCCCCGTCCTGATCCATGGGAGGAATGGGGAGAGATCGAACTCTACCAGACGCACCTGCTCTGACAAGAGCAGGCACGCCACACTGACCCCGCAAGGACCAATGGGACAGCAGCCCACTCAACCGCAGCAAAGACAAGACAACACCACCAAGCGGTGGCAGCCAATACGGTGACCCACCGTCCAAATACGGCCCGATGAGACGGGTGTACGACCATACCCACTATGGGATGGGGTTCACAACAACGGCCTTGACTTTGAGGCCATCCAAGCCAACAAAGGTCACAACCCCGGAGCTCGGATCATGGCCACCAGCTCCACAAGCACCAAGACGGCCAACGACCTTAGGGCGGCTATCAACTCCCGTACGATGCCCCCGGGAGATCAGGAGGCGATGACGAAGGCCACGGTGAAACCACGTCGCACAGGACGGCTGGCGAATTACCACCGTGCCTACAGTGCCGCCACAACCGGCACAGTAGCACCACACCACACCATGCCGCGACATGGGCACAAGACCATGACGACAACCACGCCCGGAAGTGCGCTACACCAAGTCAAGACGGCGTTTCTTGCAAGCCAAATTAGCTAGGTTCCCTCCCTCAGGCTCACGACCCCTCGGTCAGGAGAACCTCCTTCTTTGTATGTGACCTGGTCCCGGACTCTATATAAGGGCAGCTAGGGCACCCTTCTAAGGCATCGGACTCTTGAAACTCTCATTCGGGCAGTCCATCCTCTAGCTTTAGCTCCACTCTCCTACGTCTTCCACCGTTCTTGCACCCCAATTGTAAGAACTTCAGAGCATTCAAGCGAAGAAGACACACTCGATCATCTCTGAGACTGGATATAGGGCTCTGGCTTGAACCAATATAAATCCTCGTGTCTTTTGGATGCTACCATCATTTTTCTGGAGCAGCGCGACAATCATATAAATTTACTAGTCGGTCTACAAAACACCGACACCATGACTTATATTCTGGGACATGGATTAATTAATAGATCAACAATTAAATCATTGACGTACATAGTTTACAGGGACTACTCAAGTTGATTTAGATGTAAAAATTTCTCTAAAAATCAAGTTTTTTCTTTGATATCTCCAATGGGGGGTAAATTTAACAAAGGACAACCTAATAAACAGTCAAAAGTGTTGTTTTTTAATTGTTGTAACGAAACCATTAAACATCTTTTCTTTGATTGTCATCATGCCAAGACAATATGGAGGACTGTTCATATAGCTACTGAGTTAACCCCTCCTAGCTTAGGGAGTTGGCTATCAAATTTTGATTTAAAAGAGAAGAAATATATTATGGTTCAGGTAGTTGCATTATGTTGGACAATTTGGAGATGTCGAAATGATCTAATCTTAAAAGATTGCAAATATATTATGGTTCAGGTAGTTGCATTATTGTTGCAGCATGATGATGAAACAATTGAGTCTTTTCGGTTAGTATGCAGAAAATTAGAGACCACTGCGTTAGAAGCTATTCACCTCTCACGGATGGAAATTTAATAATACTCGATTATGTACAATTTTTGTTTTTCTTGTTTTCCTGATTCATCAACAAATACCTCTGAAACTATGTAATTAATAATGTAAGCGTTGAATGCGGACACGTAGAGGCGCGAAGTTTCTTCCAATTTCTAAAAAGAAGGTCTACTCACTAGTTGCGCCACTAGGCGTTGGTACGATGATTGTACAAAGTAAATTCTTTAGATACACTGATTCTATTGCAGCCACTTTGGTAGCACAAGTCTCTCTTGGATTGCCGTGTCAACCAGCTTGTTTTCTAATCCCTTTGTCCCAAAATAGATGACTGCTTTAGGCCTGTACATGGAAATTTTTGAGAAGTGAAAAAGGTGCGGTGCATGAAAAACTATAAGGTAAGAGATATAGAGATGTATTGGAAAAACAGAAATGTATATTGGAAAAGAGGAAGGTGTATTGGAATACTATAAGGTCAAGTAATTTAAACATAATTTGAATCTTATAAAGTCATCTATTTTGGACGAACGGAGTAATGAATACACCAACTTGAGAGGGTGGTACACTTGCATGACGATTGGCATGGCCACCTTGCAACCTCACGAAGACTTAAAACTTCTCTTTCTTTCTATAGTAGAAAATGGTAGAACTATTAGACCAAATAATTGATAAATCACCAATTAAATCATTGACGCAAGTTGTTTACAGGGACCATTCACTAGTTGCGCCTCTGGGCGTTGGTACGAGGATTGTACAAACTAAATTCCTAAGACACATTGGTTCTATCCTAGCCGCTTTGATAGCATAACTCTCTCTTAGATAGTTGTTTTCTTCACCAACTTGAGAGAGTGGTACACTTGCATGACTATTGACGCTTGCTTGACTATTGACTTGGTCACCTTGCAACATCACGAAGACTTGAAACTTCTCTCTCTCTCTCTCTCTCTCTCTCTCTTTTCTAAAGTAGAAAATGGTAAAACTATAGACCAAACTAAAAAAAGGTCTAATAATGCAATATTATGCATTATTTACTAATCAAACAAGACATCATCAGCTCCAGTGGAGCACTGAATGCTATTGCTAGGTAGGGCCTCTGCCATACTTTCGTTTTGGTGCATCATTTTCTCAGCTTCTACATCCTGATTTTCTCTAATGTGCGTTTTCCCTTATGTCTCCACCATGAATCGAGCCTTACAGATCGAGCTCTATTGGTATAGTTGTGCTACACTTTAATTTGTATCCATCCTCCACCACTGATCAGCTCTAGGACATTCAAAGTTTTTAGACACTTGGGGGTTGGAATGTACACTCTCCTCGGAGAACTGTTTGCCAGATGCATGGCTACCCAACATCTTTTGGTCTTATTTAGATGCCCCTGTATTATCCATCTTATGAATCCATGTATGTTGAAGTTGCTTAGAGTAAAATTTAGTTTAACTTTTACCCTCATAAGCGCTAATTCCGGTATTCTTGGTGTGTTGTATCTTTCGTGTTGCGTTCTCAGGGTCTGCCTGGCAGCTTGCGGTCTTGCTTGTTCCTATGCTCTGTGCTTCTACTTAATGAAATACGTGCAGCACACGTTCTTGAAAAAAAATTAATTTTTATCCTAATCTACCCAAACACACTTAGATCGATATAGATATGAGTACATCCAAACAAATCCTTTGGTAGCATATTCTTCAAGTAGCCAGAACAGAATTTTCAAGCAGCCAATATATCTCAGAAAAAACTCTTTGGCACAAAAAGCTGTCCGGCGATACCTCCAAAGACCGACATGAGGCCACTGAATCAACGCCAACTTATTATAATTACAGCCGTGATAGACTTATATATATACTCTTACATATAGTATATACTGTAATACGGAGTATATATAGTACATATATATATATATGTATCATCAAATGATGTGAATCGGCCAGCGAGGCTAACCAACTAACTACACACCTGCTCGCTAGTTCGGGACCCGGCAGTCGCGGCGTATCTCGCCGGTGGCCACCGTCTTGGCCCCGATCCTGCCGAGCTTGGTGATCGCCGCCACAAAGTTGGCGAAGAAGACGCTCTGGTTGGACGCGTAGTTGTCGACGGCGCCGCGGGACCTTTGGTCGCTGTACAACACCTGGTCGGTGCCCAGGAGCCCCCTGCCTCCCTGCAGGTTCTGGTAGAAGGTGTTGTCGAAGCTCACCGGCGTGGGGTCGAAGAACGCGAAGCCGCCGCTAGGGTTGGAGCCGCAGGTGCCGCGCAGCTGTGACGCCAGGCCCTGGTCCATGCTCGGGTCGTTGCCGATCCTGTACTGGAAGAAGGGGCAGTCCGCCGCGCCGAGGGTGTGCGCACCTGGTGGATTGGCAAGGTCAGGCCGTCAGGGTGAGCCTGACAATTATTGCAAGGCCGATGAGATGATGGATGAGCAGCAGGCGGTGCCGTTTACCTAAGAGGGCGATCGTTTCAGCCTGGGAGAAGCCGAGGCCGGAGAAGAAGGCGTTGAGCTGGTCCAGGGTGAAGTTGACACCCGGCAGCCGGACGCTGTCCCTGGTCGACACCCTGCCGTCGAACCGGCCGAGCTCCACCTGGTAGTACGGCCCGCCACTCTGCAACCGATGCATGCAGAAAAATTCGAGTTAGTTGCATGCACAGCATGTATGTAACTGATGACAAGATTTTATTCTTTTTGAACGACCAAGTAGCAACGAACGACTGACAGCATGGAGGCTGACGAATAGCACATACCAGGTAGACGGCTTCTCTGGCGGCGAGGGCCATGATGTCCGCGCACGACACCTTGTATTGGCACTGCTGGTTGTTGTCCACGGCGGCCTTGGCGCTCAGAATGGCCTGGAACCCATCCGGCTTGAGCGACTGGTTGGCGGTGTTCCGCCACTCGTCGTCGCCGTTCGAGTTCACGATCATGATCGACGCGTCGCAGCCCTGCATCCGCAGTTCCCATGCATCAGAGACGGCGATCGAGCTCGATCGATCGGCTGCATGCACTGCTAGCGGGGAGCCAGCAGCTGGCCGGGATAAGTAGCATGTGCGTTACCATGACGGCGCAGTCGTGGAAGAAGAGCCTGAGCGCGGCGGGCGCGGCGATCTGGGACTGCGCCATGGACTGCCTGACGGAGCCCCGGACGATGATCTCGAGGTTGGGGCAGGTGCTGGCGTAGTAGTCCGTCCTCAGCTGCGCGACGGCGGACGGCGGCGTGAGCGCCGCGGACACGACGACGGCGACAAACAAGACCAGCCTAAGCCTCGCCATCTATGAATGAATAATACACACGACTCTCTCTCTCTCTCTCTCCTCCGGCAGCTTGGCTTTCAAATTCAAGCTGTTGTTTGTTGCGTGCGTCTTTCCAAAAGCGTGGCAGCTGGCCGTTGGTAGTTATTTCGTTCGATCGAGGCTGGTCGAAATCAAGCGATATGGTGGCGCGTTGGAACGGAGGTTGCATGGGATTTATAGACGGCCGCCGGCCGGGCGCACTGGCCCGTGGCTTCCTCGTCCTTTCCAACTGCCAATTCGATCAGCATGATTGAGGTAGACCAAATGTTGTTATTCCCTCTTTTTTTATTTTTTTATTTACAAGACCCACTATAGTCATAGACGCTCATACACGTACAATCACCCTACACATATAAACACGCTCACCCTACCACATTTGTTGCGGTAAGTGTCGGTGTTTCGAGTTGCCACCAACGATTAAATTTCTAATATTGCGCGTCTGGCTCGTATGATGTGCTTAGAGGACACGTGGTTTATACTGGTTCGGACAGAATGTCCCTACGTCCAGTTCGTTACTGTCACTCGTGTTACTAGCACTGAATGTTCGTAGTAGGGGTTACAAACGGCGAGAGAGGGACAGGTTCCAAGTCTCCGGTGAAAGGAGTAAACGGGTGTTGAGGGAGCTCGGTTGCTGCTCAGCCGTGTGTTCGGGGTTCGATGGGTTTGTTTGGATCTGGCTCGAATCGATCTGATGTGTTGCGATGTCCCTTATGGGACACCATGCTTTCCCTTTTATAGGCTAAGGAAAAGCATGGGTTACAACGAAGAAAAAAGAAGAACGAGAGAGAGAGAGCCGAAGGCCTTCAGGATCGTCGGGTCCTTCTCCTTCATACGGGTCCCGCCAACGCTATAGATGTCAACAGGGACGGCTTCGCGTCGCGGTCCTGTTCGTCACGAGCGCCATGCACAGGCGTCATATTCCGGTCATGGCACTCCACTTCGTCCGGGCGAACGTCGTGGTGAACTGACTCGCCCGTCAGTGTTCGTACGGGGGTTAGGAGGAACAACACGGGTACGCCCGATGCTGTTCTTGATGTGAATCCTCCGGTATTGCTCGTCATGGCCACGGGTTACATCGGGGCGTGCCGGTCTCTTCCCTGGTGTCAGAGCTTTGACTCAGGCCCATACGCTTGGACCTAGAGTGGTTGGCGGTGGTATGGGTCTGCGTCGGGCGAGGCGGAGCCTGTGGCCTCGGGGTTGGGTGAGGTGGAGTCCTCCCCCAGAGGCTGGGCGAGGCAGAGCGCAAGCCCGAGGGTCGGGTGAGGCGGAGCCAGCGGCCTCGGGGTCGGTCGAGGCGAAGCGTAGACCCAAGGGTCGGGCGAGGCGGAGCGCAATCCCAAGGGTCAGGCGTGGCGGAGCGCAGACCCAAGGGTCGGGTGAGGCGGAGCCCGCGGCCTCAGGGTTGAGCGAGGCGGAGTCCTCTCCCAGAGGCTAGGCGAGGCGAAGCGCAGACCCAAGGGTCGGGCGAGGCGGAGCGCAGACCCAAGGGTCGGGCGAGGTGGAGGGCAGACCCAAAGGTCGGGCGAGGCGGTGCCCTCTCCCAGAGACCGGGCGAAGGAGAGCTTGCGCGTCGGGGGGTCAGTTGGAGTTGTAGTCACGCTCTTGACTGCTCGGATGAGTCAATGTTGATGGTCATTATCTCATCCTCTTCGGGTACCCTAGTATTGGTCCCCGATAATAGCCCCCGAGCCTGCGGAGGAGTAGAAAACTCCTTCGGAGGTTTTTCCAAGCGGGAGGACTCTGATGGCCTTGGCCTTCTTTTGTCGCCCACGGCGTGACCTGGGGACGGTGATTCCCTTTCGTCGAGATCAGACCCCTCGGGGTATAGCCATGAGGTTTGGTGGGTCGGAAAAGGTCCTTCCCTGATTTCGACCCCTTCGGGGGTCTGTCGTTCTGTGACCGTGCGTTCGGTCTCCTTGTGAGCCCAACTTTCCTCGAGCCCCCGCGCGTAGCGGGGGTCCGGTCGAGGGTCGGCTCGTCTTTGTGATCATCACCCTGTCCACGGTTTCCACAACCGGAGGGGTTGAGATGTGCCGTGATTTGCCTCTATGGACGAGCCACGGTGCTTGGAGAGTTGTTAGGTGGCTAGTCCGAGTGGGGCCCTGTTCGTGGGGATCTGGCTTGGGTCAACTAGTGACCGACTCTAGACCCTCAGCGGTCAATCCATATAGTTCTCGGATCCGTTCGACCGGTCCCGAGGGCCCTCTGCCTTTCTTTTGAGGAAAAAACCATGGATCGTATCCGACCGATACTCGAACGTAGGCCGGGATGCCTGCGGCGCTCGTGCGCCCTGGTACTGGCCGCTAGCGGGCCCATCCCTTTCCACCCCTCACTTCAAAAAGGCGCCCAGAGTGGTTGTCGATCCCGTCGGTGGGCCAACCTTCGAACTCCTAGGTCTAGACGGGCCGCAGTAGAGTTTTTAGCTCCGTATCCTTTACCTGTGATGGGTCATCGCCCGCCCGGAGAGGCAAAACGTCTGGTGAGTTTTCTGAGGGAACGAACAGAGATTGCGTGCGCGCGTCCCGCGGCGAGACGTGGTGGCAGATCATGGTAGGCGCGGAGATCTAGGCGGGCGGTTGGTTTCCTCGCACCCGTCGCCCCTATAAAACCAAAGGGTTCGCCCCCTGGGTTCCATACCTTGCATCCTTGCCTCTGTAGCCATGACCGCCGCCGCCAATTGCTTAGGTTTCCTGCCTCCGCATCCTCGCCGTCATCGAGCCTGCATCCGTCTACCCCACCTCCAATGGATCCGTGGTGCCGCTCAAACATCACCTTCCAGCGCATGGAAGGCCTTGTTCGTCACGGTCTTCTCCGTGCGTGGACCTCGACTGAGGAGTGGCTGCTGCCCGGCGAGGAGGATCTGCCGTTGCCGCCTGACGGCTATGTGGTGTTGTTCGCGCACTTCCATGAGCGTGGCTTTGTGACCCCCGCTCACAAATTTCTTCGGGGGCTGCTGCACTATTACAAGATCAAGTTGCAGCATTTCAACCCCAACGGGATCCAGCACAAGGCGACGTTCATCGCCCTGTGCGAGGGGTTCCTGGGGATCAGCCCCCACTTCGATCTGTGGAGGTACTTCTTCACTGTCACACTCTAGAAGAAGAGGGAGAAGAGCGGCAGGCAGGAGCTGCATATGCCAATGGGGTGCGCCGGCATCTAGCTCCAGAACAATCAGGTTGGCGAGTACCCGCCCATGCGGTTCTCGATGTCCAACAAGGGGTGGCACTCATAGTGGTTCAACCTCAAGAATGATGCCACTGCCCCTCTGCCGGAGTTCACCGGGTGCCTGATCGAAGAGGCCCTAGAGTCGTGGAGGAAGTGGGGCGTCCCAGAGAAGGACAAGAAGAAGATCCGGGACCACATCGTCGCCATCCACATCCTGAAGGAGAATGGCCTGAAGGGGTTGGGCATCATCGGGGTCTACCACGCAAGGAGGGTGGCGCCGTTGATGATGTGTACGCTCCCACTATACGCGATGGCGCCCGAGGCGTTGTTCGACGGAACGGCGCTCGCCGAGGGGGTGTTTTCCAACTCCGAGATCGCGCAATGCATTAAGGAGACAATGGAGCCCTCGTGGGACGATGCGGGTGCCCCCTCAATTTCGTATTCCTGGTGCCAGGACATCCTCTGTTGCGGCCGGAACCAGACCACGTATTCTTCATAAGTTTCCCCCTTTCTTGCCTTCTCTTCAATTGATTTCCCGACCCCTTGATACTAACTTTGAGAGGGGCGGGACCAGCCGAGGGATCTCATCCTCATGGATCACCCGGCGCCGTTGCCGAGGGATGCGGCCGTGAGGATGGCGAATCACGCCGAGGGTGAGCGACTGAAGAAGGCGAAGGAGGACAGGAAGAGGAAGAAACCGTGGAAGTTGTAGGCACGAGAACGAGGGGAGCACACTGATAGTGATGATGATGATGATGACGCCGATGACGAGGTAGCCGACGACATTGAGTGGGATGACCTGGAGAATGAGGATGCACTGACAGGTATCGGTTCGTCCTTGTAGGCGTCAGGAACCTTCCCGTTCCATGGAGGGGAGGGTACAGCCGGGGAGCGGGCGGAGGTTAGCCATGTCATCGGCCTGCCCCAGCAGCCAACAGAGGCGGATGGCTCTGTCGCCGCGTCCGAGGTGCCAGCGGAGGCGGGTGGCTTGGCCGTTGCGCCCCAAGAGCCAAGGGGAGCGAGCCCCTCTGCCCTAGAGCAGGGGGTGGGCTCAAAACGATCTTGTTCCGACGAGGCGGAGCAAAGGTCGGGGGGTTCGCCCCCAAACACATCTGCCGCCCGACGGCATTGAGGTGAGTTGTCAGTTCC